AGTAAAGATGTATGAGATCAATGCACAGCAGTGGTTGGACTGTACATACTATGGTGCATAACAGAGGGAGCGAAGATTAATCTATGGATCTTGACATGGTAGAGCATAACTTGTGAAATATGTTAAACAAATAATACAATACTTCAACATAAAAAAACAGTTGATACAAGAGTCGAAAGAAGAAAAACTTTCACACACCTGGCCGAGAAGGAACGGCGTAGAAATCGTCATCGAGATCGATATTGCTGCTCGAAATAGTAAAAGGAGCAAACGCACCACTAAAGGGCACTGGCGAATCAGGGGGCGTTGGCTGGCTAAAATCGTTCGAACCTGTCGATTCATTGTCCGGGACACTGGAGTCCCCATCATCGGCCTCGTCTGCGTCAGCGTCGCCTTCCGTGTGGTCATCGTTCGCGTTCGACGGCTGATCGAGTAAATGGATTCCAACCAACAACGAATAATCCATTAGATGCAGACCAGCCAAGAACTATGACGACAAAACTAGATGAGAAGGAGGAAAAGCCAGTCGAAGGAGACATTTGCTGAGCATTGTCAGTATACTGCTACTTAGGTGTTCCATGACGCAGCAGCAGAAGACATTAGTGCTGCATAGCAAAGAAAATGACAGGCTGGAGTTTCTACAACATTTTTCGCACTTCATATTTGAACAATGGGAGTCCTACAACTTGATCTGCATGCAAATGCCCTGCCGTACAAAGGCATACGACCGGTACACATGTTACTGTCTCGGCACTTTACCGGTTACATGCATAAGTATTAGGTTAGAGTATGTATCTTTGACTGTAACACTACATAACATTAATATGTAACGCAGAATAAAAGCTCACTTCAATTCTGCGCTACCCAATTAATGACAGTGCCCATCACTGTAACATCTTCGTACTGAAAAATACCATTGTTATGCTGCGAAAATGTCTGCAAAAAATTGATAAACGTTATTAAGTTTTGCCTTACACCCAAAACCACTAAGTCGAAAGATCAACAGCCTTATTCAAGGATATTTTTGAAGGTCATCAAAAACCACCAAGCATACTGAGTTGAAAAAATTCTAAACGGCGTTGGTAGCTAAAAGCCTACTGGCAAATTTCACATGCAGT